ATCATTTTGTGTCTGTCGATTATTCCAGTCATTCTGTTCTGTGGTAGAGGGCCTCTCTTTACGTGTCCCCGCCTGTGTTGACACGTCTGTTTGGTCTGGTGGACCCAGCTCTGTGGTCACATGTCTTGCTGTCATTGTTGTCACATCCACCTGCCCATGGACCCGAGCTTTATGTTTTTGCAACATTTTGTTGGCGTTGCCGCTATCAAATCCAGGGGCGTACTTTGACTCATTGTCACCGGGGCAAACTCCACATAGCATTACCAGTACATAGCAAAAAGACATTAAAAAGAACCGGAGGGGGGGGGGGTCCAGCTAAGGTACGCCACTAGTGACACCCTATCGCAAATCTTGAAATTATGGCCAAGCCAGTAAAAGTGTCAAATAACTCGTGTGAATACGCCCACGGTTGGCAGGGTAAAAACAAAGGGCCAGACTCAGATGAAATAAACATTCAGCTCTCTAGGGTAAGTGACATTCAGCTCTCTAGGGTAAGTGACATTCAGCTCTTTAGGGTAAGTGACATTCAGCTCTCTAGGGTAAGTGACATTCAGCTCTCTAGGGTAAGTGGAGCCCTGAGATATCGAAATTGAAACACAGTATATGAAACTGCTGTTACAGTGTAGTGTAAAGCATAACATAGCACATAATACTATTTCCGTGTGATGTAAAACCAAACAAAGTATCAAACACTACCATTGCCGTGTGATGTAAAACCAAACAAAGTATCAAACACTCCTATTTACCATTGCCGTGTGATGTAAAACCAAACAAAGTATCAAACACTACCATTGCCGTGTGATGTGAAACCAAACAAAGTATCAAACACTACCATTGCCGTGTGATGTAAAGCCAAACAAAGTATCAAACACTACCATTGCCGTGTGATGTAAAGCCAAACAAAGTATCAAACACTACCATTGCCGTGTGATGTAAAACCAAACAAAGTATCAAACACTACCATTGCCGTGTGATGTAAAACCAAACAAAGTATCAAACACTACCATTGCCGTGTGATGTAAAACCAAACAAAGTATCAAACACTACCATTGCCGTGTGATGTAAAACCAAACAAAGTATCAAACACTACCATTGCCGTGTGATGTAAAACCAAACAAAGTATCAAACACTACCATTGCCGTGTGATGTAAAACCAAACAAAGTATCAAACACTACCATTGCCGTGTGATGTAAAACCAAACAAAGTATCAAACACTACCATTGCCGTGTGATGTAAAACCAAACAAAGTATCAAACACTACCATTGCCGTGTGATGTAAAACCAAACAAAGTATCAAACACTACCATTGCCGTGTGATGTAAAACCAAACAAAGTATCAAACACTACCATTGCCGTGTGATGTAAAACCAAACAAAGTATCAAACACTACCATTGCCGTGTGATGTAAAACCAAACAAAGTATCAAACACTACCATTGCCGTGTGATGTAAAACCAAACAAAGTATCAAACACTACCATTGCCGTGTGATGTAAAACCAAACAAAGTATCAAACACTACCATTGCCGTGTGATGTAAAGCCAAACAAAGTATCAAACACTACCATTGCCGTGTGATGTAAAACCAAACAAAGTATCAAACACCACCATTGCCGTGTGATGTAAAGCCAAACAAAGTATCAAACACTACCATTGCCGTGTGATGTAAAACCAAACAAAGTATCAAACACTACCATTGCCGTGTGATGTAAAGCTAAACAAAGTATCAAACACTACCATTGCCGTGTGATGTAAAACCAAACAAAGTATCAAACACTACCATTGCCGTGTAGTGTAAAGCCAAACAAAGTATCAAACACTACCATTGCCGTGTGATGTAAAGCAAAAAAAAGTATCAAACACTACCATTGCCGTGTGATGTAAAACCAAACAAAGTATCAAACACTACCATTGCCGTGTGATGTAAAACCAAACAAAGTATCAAACACTACCATTGCCGTGTGGTGTAAAACCAAACAAAGTATCAAACACTACCATTGCCGTGTGATGTAAAGCCAAACAAAGTATCAAACACTACCATTGCCGTGTGATGTAAAGCCAAACAAAGTATCAAACACTACCATTGCCGTGTGATGTAAAGCCAAACAAAGTATCAAACACTACCATTGCCGTGTGATGTGAAACCAAACAAAGTATCAAACACTACCATTGCCGTGTGATGTGAAACCAAACAAAGTATCAAACACTACCATTGCCGTGTGATGTAAAACCAAACAAAGTATCAAACACTACCATTGCCGTGTGATGTGAAACCAAACAAAGTATCAAACACTACCATTGCCGTGTGATGTAAAGCCAAACAAAGTATCAAACACTACCATTGCCGAAGCCAAAGTATCAAACACTACCATTGCCGTGTGATGGAAAGCCACACAAAAAACACTCATACTTCCATAACAAGTTGGTACCAAGTGCCCGCCAATTTGAGATCCGGGATTAAAATAGACTCTACAAACGTTGCACACCCGCCCAACAACGCCATTCCACGACCCGTGCACTTCGGATGGGTCAACATGACAAATGATTAAGCAAGTCTGTGGCTCACTCCTAACACTAACATTCATGTCATGCTGACCTCATACTTTAGTCACATACGAACATGGTTCTCCTTTGCTTTTAGACAATGAAATAGTTGGTTTAAAGGGACTTTCACTTAAAAAGTGTTATTTTCTGCCCCATTGATCGGTGGGTTTCTTCGTGGAGGGAGGGAGGGAGGTGGGGGGGAGGGGGTTAAAAGTTGAGCCATATATTTCACCACATAAAAAAAGAATTTTGCCACAGCAAATAAAAATTGTACAATGAAAAACATTGAATAATTATTTAAACTATGAAATGAAGAAAAGGATAATCCACAAGGCTTCATGGGGAATAACGTATTTCCCTGCATCCAAACAACATTTTCCATTTGCGGAACCAACCCTTTCTCTAGCCAAGACCAACCCATTCCCCAGCAACGAACAACGATAATATATATATATTATCCACTAGCCTATATACCCGGCGTGGCACGGGATTACACTAGGACCCAATCCTGGTGTGACCCCCGATCCCATTGGGACCCCTATCTCGGCGCAGTCCCATTTGCCGGTGTGATCCCGATCCCGGTGGATCCATTCAAGGTTAGGATCCCGATGGAATCCCGTTTTCTGCTGGGATAAAGATTATGATGAGATCCCGACCCCTATGTTTATATTTCGAATATAAAAAATTACTCAGTGTTACTGAGAGAACAGTAAACACCGGAACAGTACACACTAAAATTTTAACATTCCCTTAGATCACACTGTATATCCCTTTGGAACAATTTAGAACTTTCTGGAACATTCTAGATTAAATTTAATAACCTGTTCGAAACATGTGTAAAAACTACTTTTCTAATTATTTTTCAAATACCATAAAAATCTTCCAAAAATGCAATAATCCTTTTTCTTTTAAGTTTATCGAGGGGCCCCGGGGGCCCATTCCATAACTGTACCGATATAGTTATGCCTGAGCCAGGGGCCCTATAAAATCAGACAGATCAATAATAAAGTTAACATTTGTCCCATAAAAATCTACTTAAAATGCCATAGATACAGCTTTTTAAAATTAGGAAACTTTCTGGAAAATTCTAGATTGGATATTATTAGTTTTTAATCCACCGATATATCAATACAGCCAATGAAGGGTATTGCTACAACGCTAGGCCAATATCCATCAATTCACATAGAAAATATAGTGTTGTCTAAGCCTATTGATATTTATATAGCTTATATAAGGAAAAATTAACTGGCCCCCCGGCCCCAGAGAAATGGACACTATGAGTTCAGTACCCTTCGGTATTTGAATATGGATAATAAAGTTTATGTGTACTAAATTTCGTCAAGATCCATCTACTCATGTAGGAGTATTTGTTTCTAATTATTTTTATATAGTTCATATAAGGAAAAAAAAAACGAATTCGGGGCCCCGGCCCCAAACGTATCGTTATAAAAAGTTCATAACCCCTTAAGATTTCTTTCTGGATCATGATGGATATATGTACCAGGTTTGGTCAAGATCCATCAATCCATGTAAAAGCCTTTGTGGAACAAAGCCACAAACAAACCCACAAAATTTCACTTATATATATATAAATAAATATATATATATAAATAAATATATATAATAAATATATATATATAAATAAATATTATATATATATAAATGTATATATATATATATATATATATATAAATATATATATATATAAATGTATATATATAAAGATACTAACAATGAATAGAACTATTTAGAACTGGCACTAGAACCCCTGCTGTAAAATGTCTGGATAACAAATCACGATATGGGTGTTCGTACCATATGCTATTTGCTATCTTGACGCAGAGGCAGCCGAGGTCAAGCTGACCGGCTCGTTCAAGCAGGTCAGAGCTGCATTTAAACTAGTCACAAAGTGCTCACTCACTCCGGACACGAGTGCTTACCACCAAGTTACATTTTTTACACGAAATATGGAAACTTATTTGAAAGCTACCCGTACTTTGAATGTCATTTCGCACACGCTCTACTCTAAAAGTTTCAGCAGAGTTCTCAATGGATGTACGTTTTAAAACTAGGTGTCATACTTAGAGTTTTAAAAATACGCTCTCGATATTTAAAAAAAATATTGTAAAGTAGTTTTTGACAATATAAGAATTTTTTCTTCTGTTTTCTTGTTATGGTTGATAAGGGAAGTAAATTAATATTCATGAAAAATTACTATATTTCATGTTAACCAGGAACTGAGACATTCTCCAGATCACAGATTGTAGCCGTCCATTGTGAAGTCTTGTAATGTTTTAAATACAAATTAATTAAATACATTTGTAAGAATCACCTCTTTATTATGTGGACTGCTGTTGGTCATTCGTGGACTAAATATTTTCAATAACTCAAATTTGCTTTTTTGTTATTTTGATCAAAGGGAAGGATGCGGTCGAAGCAAAAAAAAAACCCGTTGAAGATGGGAAGAGATCTTTATTGGAAATGTGGCGTCGGATAAACAGAGATCAAATTCTGTGTTTCAAAACAAGTAAGTGTGGAATATTACATTTGAATGAGTCATTTTTTTAAAAATCTACTTATGTGACTGATGAAATGGAACCAACGCCAAACTTGACCGAGATTAGATGAAATTCACATAATATATTGCCACTGAAACAACATTCACGTTCTTTAGTTTAGTGATGGCCTCAAGCCAAAGTACGATTTAAATGGAATAATAGTTTGATATCTAACTCAAATTTCCTGTAGACTTCATCTATACACCAAGATTAGAGTGTTCATTTTTGCCATCGAAGGCTTTTCTGTTACTGTCCTTCTACGGGTTTTCCTCTACCCTTTGTATATTTCTCATGGCTTCAAAATTAGCGCAGTCCCCCAGGCATGTTTCCCCCCATACATGTTTAGTCTCGTTACAAAAATGGAGACAATACTGAGATTAACCTTAAAACATGTTTAAGTAATGTTTATAAACTGTTAATGATTGTCATTAGTTAGCTCCACCAACCGGAAATGGCATCAGCCCCGCGAAACCTGCGGTAAGAAAAAGTGGCTATGGTTACATTTATTCACCAAACTGTGCTACTATTTATCATAACCGGCATTTATGTGATGTTCGCATGTATAAATATACATAAATAATCACATCGCTCATAGGATTATGATTTCAATAAAATAATATTGGATTCGTTACGACATTCAATCATAGTATTCATCAGACTTGAGTGATGGCCGTTTACTTTACAAAATTGAAGTACCCGGCAATGTGCAAAATAGACAGGTGGAAATCTACCTGGAAAAAAACCCATCCTAATATAATCTTCCAACATTTCATTCTTACAATGACCACTAATATTCTTACAATGACCACTAATATTCTGACAATGACCACTAATATCAAGGCCACCCTCACTTTCAGAATACCCATATCGGAATTAGGAATCAAAATGGATGCCTCTTACATAAAATACGGCATTCAAGAGACTTCTGACCGAATGTCCGATGTTGAATTGGGAGAAGAACTTCATTTGCCAGTGCAGGAGCAGACAAGATCTGAAGATGAAATAGATCTTGGTGGGGAAGCGTTCTGGCACAGCCAGGTAGGTACACACGAATATCGTTTCAATCTAACTTTTTAATTGTTACTGTTGCTTACGTTAGCAAAGTAAAATGGTGAGTAGTAACGGTAGCTAAAATTCAAAACCGATCATTCTGATGGAACTAGCCATACGATTCAGTGATGCAGAACGTGTTTGCAGAACATGCAATTCTTATTTTCCGTAATATATAATTCATCATTTTGAATGAGATGTCACTTTAGTAGGAAATAGGGTCAACAGATCCAACCTTGCATGAGTCATTGTTATAGATGACATAGTACCAAATCCAACAGCTCAGGAGGTCAGTACACGAAGTGGTTACTCAAAGTATTTTAGTCATTTAAAGTAAGTTCATAATAACTCTGGATGACATGAAACATAATAGCAAAAACATTTTTTTTAAAAAGGAACAGAAATTTATAAAACATACATCTTGTATTCAATGGGTGCAAATCCGCCCATTAATCAAAAAGATGTTCATACATTTGATTTTAACCAAATTGTTCAGTTATTTAAACAAGTTTGCAGACTTTTGATATAGTCTATCAATGTAGCAGCTACATCCAAACATTGACTTGTTTATCAATGTAGCAGCTACATCACTGCAAACATTGACTTGTTTATCAATGTAGCACTTACATCACTGCAAACATTGACTTGTTTATCAATGTAGCAGCTACATCCAAACATTGACTTATTTATCAATGTAGCAGCTACATCACTGCAAACATTGACTTGTTTATCAATGTAGCACTTACATCACTGCAAACATTGACTTGTTTATCAATGTAGCCCTTACATCACTGCAAACATTGACTTGTTTATCAATGTAGCACTTACATCACTGCAAACATTGACTTATTTATCAATGTAGCACTTACATCACTGCAAACATTGACTTGTTTATCAATGTAGCAGCTACATCACCGCAAACATTGACTTGTTTATCAATGTAGCACCTACATCACCGCAAACATTGACTTATTTATTGTTATTTGCATCAAATAGAAAATGAGTTAGAAGTTCAGCTTCTTGAATTAACTTGCACAAGAAGACTAAGAGCTAATAAGACAGAAGAAGAATTAGTCCCATAAAAATAGCTTCATTATGTTAATTAACTTGTTATCTGTCACCACGTGTTTGCCTTGAGACTTACGGAAAGCGCACTTTCGCATTTGCTGGTCCAACAATTTGGAACGCCCTTCCTGTCGATCTTAGAAACAACCAGACACTGGAGTCCTTTAAAACCGATCTAAAGACACATCTATTTCGCAAATACCTTCTGGGATGATTGTCTACCTTATTTTCCAGTTAATGCATAATGGCTGTGTTGCTCAGGGTTGAAATGGCTAGAAAGACTTTGCCATTGTATGCTTGTAATTAGTTTTTGTAGTGTTGCGTTTGTTTTTAAATGTTGTAAATTATAGATATTTTTTTGTTGACTTTGTACCGCGCTTCGAGCCTTTGGGGATGAAGCGTGTTTTTGAAATGAACTTTATTATTATTATTATTATGTTTTAACATTTCCAAATGACTTCCTACTGTAACACTTGTTAAACGATTATTGCCAGATTTTTTACTCAAAATGAGTATAAAAATGTTCAAAGATTTTAAATAAGTGCATGTCAACTAAAATAAACATTTAGAACTGGGATGGGCCAAAATATATTGAAGCAGACTAATTCTTATTTCACACTGAAGAATGTGATTTTCTGATTTCTGCCCAAACCGAAACCAAACTGTAAGTTAAAAATGACTTTTGAACGAAACCAAAATCAAAATATTAACGAGACCTCTGGCCGAAAGCAAAACAGAAAGATTTAGATATTTCGAAAACCTGTTCGCACATGTTCTGCGTACGTCAAAATATGATGGGGGAAAGTATTAATATTTATAAGAATGAGAATAAACATCTAATAAATACTTTGGCTTTTACCATTTGAATTAAATAGTTGTTAAAATGTTTCAGTATCATGGTAAGAGAATATCTTTAAATGGGTGCGGGGGCTTTAATGTCATCATTACAATGCTACTTAGACATATTTGGAATTCATCGACAGCTAATCGACAGCTAAGCCTATGTATTTTTTATGTTATGGCCCACTAAAATGTCCAGACATAAGCCTTGAAGGAACTCTTTATTCCGCTACACTATATATTTTCACTGAAACATGCAATCTTATTGGTCAACATTAAACATTTTCCTTTACACTATATTATTTAGAGGCTAATTTTTATATTGGACCCAGACTAAACAAAAGTTGAATAAATGTTGGGCTAAGTTTAGCATGATAATGCAGTATGCCTACTACAGGATTATTATATAATACAGTCATACATATACACATGTTTAGATTTATAATTTAAAATTCAAGGCTATTTTACATCTAATTCTACAAAATTTAAATAAATTTTATATTTCAAAAATATTACTCTTCCTCACATTTGTGTAAATATATGTAGCTTATTTTGTGTAATATATTCATTTCGACATTGACAATGTTCTTTCAGCATGATAATTGATAAATTTGAACGAATGAATGAATTGAATAAGCCGAAGGTTCCCTGAATTTGTATATATTAAAACAACAAAGGAAATGTTACCATTCCCAAGGATTTTTTCCACAATACCATTCACCTTTGCCCATGACACATTGATGAGCATGATAATGATAAATAAATATGAATGTCACAAATGAACCATTGAATAAACCTAGGGTTACCAATTTTTTTTTTGGACAAAATTAAAACAAAAATAATAATAATATAAATATTACCGTTACCTTATTTATTATTTGTCCCCCAGAACAATTTACCTTTGCTGAAATGAAATTTTATTTTTGGAAATATTGGACAAGTAGGTCATCATGCAGCTTTAAACAGTATTCAGAGAGCATTAGCCATATTTCATACGATGACAGAAAGACATAGCAAAATAATGAATATCAGATAGCTGCCGAGAGACAGACAGAGTGACAGACTGACTTCTGGCAGACGACTGAAATCCTCAATCCCTTTCGGACGAAACTATACAGAAAGTGACCAAATGGCAACTTTTGTCTCCGAAACCTAAACTCGCAAGAATAATATGGTTTACAGTAAACCTGAAACACATATTACATGCCATAAATAACCTCTCAAAAAATTGAATTGTGTATGTGATATGATTTCACAATTTAAAACATTAATATGATTTTTAAAATTGTGGACCTAATGTAATAATGTCAAACTTCACACACTAATGATGCATAAATTTTTACATTTTTTTATATTCCAAAACAGCCCAGAACCCCAGCGATGAGCATCAGGCAATGCAGTGGAGACGGCAGACAAAGATCTGCAAACAGAAAGGTATTCAAGGAAATTTTCCCTGTCTCATTGCGAACAGTTGCATCCCCCCACCCCCCCTTTTTTTTCTTCAAAATGTATTAAATTAAAGTTTCACATTCTTTATCTAGTGGCAGTTGCGACACCATTAACAGAAGGAAAGTAACACGCGACCATATTGCATTGAAGAGGCCGTTTTAATGGGGTCAAACAAAACAAAGCATGTGACATAGTATAGGCACTGTGCCTAAGAGGAGACATTCACCTTTTAAATATGTACATTTTATTCCCATAGACAGACACATTTTATGATTTTGATACGAGCTCAAATCTGTATGTTAATAGCTTAATTGAAATGCACTACACTCTATTGTGTTCAATTTCGATATAAAAACTACAACAAAGAAGAAAATGAGATTTCAATTGAACCCTTGAAAGTGGCCCTGACAATACATTGATGCCAGGCTAATTTATGGGAGATGTATAAAAGAAATTCTTCAACTATTCTATAGTGCCAAAGTTAAAAGCCCAACGCCCTTTAGAGTTCATTTTCACTTATTTAATTGTATAATTGAATATTAGTTGTCTTTATGATTTACCATCATGCGGGGCTGGTCAGCGCTTCTTAAGAGGGAGATATGCTCTACCCACACAGCGTATTGCTTGGGTGCCCTAAAAACTGGAGACAAACAGATTTTATGAATATAAAAATATTGATTAGAAATAACCGATGTAGAACAGGGCAGAGGACCACGCCCAGCTAAATAAAATATCAAAGTGGGCCGCAAGCAAAAATGGTTGAGGAGTGTTATGTTAAGCAAACATAAAATGATAAAGTCAGGGTTGAGAGAAAATGGTTTGATGACATTGTATGGCTGGTTTAATGTTTGAAAATCTAGTCAGAATATCGTAGGGTAGTTAGTATTTGTTTACTTATAGGACTGAGTGGTGTACTGACCCAGATACCAGGTAATGTGGAGTATTGGGTAGGCAAACATTTTTAATTTTAATACGTATAAAGCATGTGGATAATTTTAAGTTCTGTCACAGAATGACCATTTCAGATTCGGTTTAATTCCATCCTAGGAAATGTCCCTAGCAATTTCCCCTCTAAGGGGTGCTTGTTCGTGTGCAAAATCATACAGTTGTGTGCAAATTTTTACAGCATCAATTTTTTTGTGTGCAAAATTTTACAGCCCACAAACAAAAACTTACATGGAAGTTGGCTGCGCGGATACTCAAAACTGCTGCGCTGCGTCTGTATGATAGCTGAGCGGCCTCGCAGCTTTAAAGTAACATTGGTCCCAAGCGATTGACTCGGCCTCTATATGGATGGCCCCTAAGCGTATGCACTTTAGGTTCTCTAATTTCTTATGTAAGATTCTTTCTATTTGCATTTCCATATGGTAATGATTGTTGTAATTTTTTGGTTGACACGTGTAACTCTATCGCTCAGTTGATCGTCTGCCATCCCCACAGACATGACCCTCTCATTCTGCGTCAACTGTTATCAAAGGGTATTTTCAGTTGTGTATTGTCCAAAGGTAGAAGTCAATAAATAATCTGAGAGAATAAATGTTGTGTTAACATGGTACACAATTTAGTTTTCGTAAGTTAGTTTGTCGAGAGCCGTCGGAGTATTACTATCATTGTATCGTGGATAAAGAAATCTGACCACAACCCCCCAGCTCTACGGGATCTCCATTGGGTTCCTGTGAGTGAGCTCATTGACCACAAAATTCTGTCCCTGGCATACAGCTGCATAGAAGGCTCTGCACCGGAATATCTTAAAGAACTGATTTATAAACATGTATCCTTAAAGAACCTGCGGTCTTCAAAGCAGTTCAATAGTTAAATAGGAGTTCTTCTAAATAAAGCCACAAATTATAAGTTTAGATTTTGTTAATATTCCCCAAAAAATTTTGTAAAAATATTTTTCAATGGGACAAAAGAAAGCTCTTTCATAGTGTTGGATTAAATTCAAGTCAAAATAGGCATGTGACTAAAGCACCTCAAGTCAAAATAGGCATGTGACTAAAGCACCTCAAGTCAAAATAGGCATGTGACTAAAGCACCTCAAGTCAAAATAGGCATGTGACTAAAGCACCTCAAGTCAAAATAGGCATGTGACTAAAGCACCTCAAGTCAAAATAGGCATGTGACTAAAGCACCTCAAGTCAAAATTGGCATGTGACTAAAGCACCTCAAGTCAAAATAGGCATGTGACTAAAGCACCTCAAGTCAAAATAGGCATGTGACTAAAGCACCTCAAGTCAAATAGGCATGTGACTTAAGCTACCTATGGCTTCATCCTTTTTATTTAACCTTTATGTATTTTAGTCCCTTATGAATACGACAAAAAAATTAGCATGTCATTTATTTTAAGTTAGTTTCACTAATCAATCCCTATCAACTTTAAGAATAACTTTAAAATAAGTTCTAGTCATTTGAGGTAAGTACAAGGTTTTATATAAAGACATTCTTGGATTATTGTGACAGAATGTGTGTTTTTTTCTTTGAGAATACTGAGGATTATATAATAATTCTCTCATGGAATATTGTGATATGTGATTAAAAAATATAGGATATTTCAATACCAAAGGTAAGTGAGCATTTTTTATTCATTTTTATTTAGTTTATACCTGAAGAATCATAATAATAATACTCATTAAAATACGATTACATCGCTTAAAATATCATTACAAATAATAGGTCCTACAATAATAAGTTGGGATGAGGACTAGTATTATAGTATAAATATATATATATTTATTTGTGTGTGTGTCCAATAAGCCTTGTATACTATGCTCATATATACATAGCTTATAGATCATATAGATGTATATATACACCAATATATATATTATATATATATAGACACACACATATACATTTTATATACACATAAACATATATATACATATATACTGCTATATGACATCTTGTTTAGTTCATGAATCTCGTGCGTGAACTTTGGCTGACCCCAGTTTGGCAACATGATGGGTGTAGCTTAATTACAAATTGTCTCCTTAACCATGACGTTATGTAAACACAGCCTATAGTCGAATTCTGTGGAAACCTGCGAGACGTGCCTAGGTACAGATACAATGCGTAACCCCTTTCTGGAAAAGTCTCCATGAAAGACTATACATAAGCCATCGACACAGGGAGAGGTAGAGCTAGAAGGAGACTGCGAGACAAACAGAGAGACAGAGATTGCAATTACAATGAGTCGAGAGCGAGACTAATAGACTGACATACTGTACTGATCAGAGATTTGTATATTCTATTTATTTTATGTGTGTGCACCTTACCAAAAGTCATTTTTGATACATTTTGAGGAAGATATTCAATTTATTTTAGAATTTTCCAGAAAGTTCTAGATTGTTCTACCAGGATATATAATAAGATATAAAAGCTTACAGAAATGTTAGTTTAGTTCTATTCATTTCTATACTTTCATGGCGATTTTCTAAAAACATTCCCTTCATGATTCTATCGGGGAAAAAAATCCCACTGGGAACATGAATCCACCAAGGAACAGGGTCCTAAAGGGGAACGAGATCCAACAGTAAACTGGAATCAACCAGTAACCCGACCTCATCGGGTAGCGAGATCCCATAGAGAACGGAATGACAACGGGATCAACATCCTAATGACATCGGGATCCCACCTGAAAATGAGATGCAACCGGCATTGGGATCCAACCACGATCGGGATACCACTGGTATCAAGATTCCACCAGGAAATGGGATCATACAGGGATGGGATCCCACTGGGAACAGCATCCCACCAGGAAATGGGATCCTGCTGGGATTGGGAAACCAGAAGGATCGGGACCAATCGGCAAATGGGATCTGATTGGAAAATAAAAAGTCTACAACAGTTATTATAAATGTGCTTTTATAGGAGACTAATTAATTTTAAAATTCTTTTACTGCGTTGTTTTTTGTTTTGTTTTTTTTTACATGGCGCTTAATTTCAATTAAACCGGGCAGCGCCGGGTATATTGGCTAGTATATATATAATACCATAATAATATATACTATTTGTTGTAATAAGGGCTATTTATCCCCCTCCCCCAATTAATAACTCAAAATAAAAGCATCAGATCATATTATAAATAAGTATTGGCGCTATAAAATTATGATACTTTGTTTCAAAATGAGCTATTATTGGATAAGATGCTGGATTTCCAGTGTAAGTTAAGTACTAAAAAATACGTCCATGATCGATAATTGGTAATTTTGGGACACAGGTGCCTAAAATATAACTTTTCTCACCAATACACTGGTGCCGTGCTAACCTTATGATTTTTTGGAAATGTTGTCATTTATGCAGTCATCTAAAGGGTGTACTTTTCTTAAAATTATATTTTCCACACAAAAAAAGATATGAATGAGTGAAGTTAGCTATTATTTAGTTCAATTTTCAAAGTCTAACTCAAACAAATCATTTTTTTCTAAAATGAAAGTGACAAATGAACAACAAACATGCTCTGTTTAAGATGAGGATGGACGTAGAATTTACATGCAAAACTAATTTCGGCCATAAAAAAAAAAAAAAAAAAAAAAAAAAAAAAAAATTTTTTTCTAAAAAAAAAGTGAAAAATGAACAAAAAACATGCTCTGTTTAAAATGAGGATGGACGTAAAATTAACATACAAAACTAATTTCGGCCAAAAAAAAAAAAAAAAAAAAAACCGAAACAACGCTACATTTGGTAAATTGAGAAGTGGAGGTCGCCATTTTGACAAGGAAATTAAGATTCCCGTTTTTCGGGTGTTTCCGGGAGATACCGAAGTCCCTTTGTAACCGAGCCCGCACCGAACCAAACCCTGCTAACGAACGAACCCGAACCGAACCCCGCCGACGACCGAGCCCAAACCGAACCCCGATGAGGACAGAACTCGAACCGATTCCTGCTGGCGAAAGAAACCCGAACCGAACTTCTAAAATAGGCTTCGATTCCCAGCTCTCAGATAAACGCATGCTCAGCATAGGGTACAGGCCACACGTCATTGGTAGCGGACGACGCTTGTGAACACCGTCAATTAAACATGTTTTTTAAACTAGCAGAATATCAGTGACACACTGGTTATACGAATTCAACGCTGCGGGAAGTGAGTAAATAATGTCCAATAATAATCCCAGGTCCCCGAGGCTAATTTTCAAAGTCCGAACAATCTGTTTACTCTATGCGTGGAAATACAGCTACATCTTTACAAACGCCGTTCGTCTCGGGAATTTTAATTTAGAGAATTCACGACAGTCGAACTAGATCAGCAATTGTGAAAAAAGTGCATAAACTTTCTACTATCGTTTGGTTGACTAACAATCATGTAGAACTTGAAATCAGTATATTTTAGAAATACTTTAAGTGTTCGACGTTGTTGAAATGCGCTAAAAATAAACGTAACTTTGCAGCCAAGGAAAAAAAAAAACGGAACACCTAAAGTTTCAAAGCAGCGTCCACTCCTTGGAGATATCAATGAGTCAAACAGAAAGTTGGTCATTAATGCACTAATGGGTGTGATTCGGACGGCTCATTGACCGAATTCCCGTCATCCTATGGAACTGAAACTTGGCACATAGACAGACGTGTTGCTGATGACAACACAACAGACGTGTTGCTGATGACAACACAACAGACTATCAAAATCTAAGCCCAAACTCCCCAAAAATCAGTGTTTCCCGTTATTCAAAGGGAGGATGAATGAAATACGATTTCTTCTATGGCTGCGTGTTTTGGTGTGGAGATTAATTGGGCGGCTGTTGCTATCTGCCTTGTATTTGTGACCTTTTTGTGCATGAAGTAAAAAAGAGCTATATTTTTGTGAAGGGGAAATTGAAAGAAACATTAAACGTGTTCCACCAGAAGTTTACCCATTTCAAATGTATACGGCCGTTTCTTAACAATGATAAACCACGTACAATTGCATAAATACAAAACAAAAATAGATATAAAGGATTTATAGGAGAAACTTTTGTTTTCATGTTTTTTGTTGTTTTTTTTTCAATTTTGGTACTACTACTACTACTCCTCCGTGTAGAGTCACACGCGGCCCCCAAAATAAGCTCTTAGCAGATACAAGTGTAATATGAATGCTCGCATTTCAAAATGGCCGACCTTTGTCGTAAACCAAACAGTTGACGAGAACTGCCATACGGACGCAAATTTACAGACGGTCCTTAAAATGTGACCTTAAATGACTTGTCCGTAAAAAAATTTAAAAAAGCATGCTAAAGGCTTTAAAACAACACCAAATTAGAGTTCATAATGTTTGTGAAAACCCACCCCACCTCCCAACAAACAAACAAAACTGTGTGTGTGTGTGTATGCTTTTAAAATTGGAGGATTATACGCAACAAAATTAATAACCTAAAGTTACGCTTAGGTTTTGACGTCGTGCGTTAGTTATGTACTGTTAGAGTAAAAGCCGCACGTCATTTATATTGAATTGTTTTAGCTTGTGAGCTTTCACAAAGATATGTTCAAGTGTTTCCGTCAAATAAATCAATACGTTTGCCCACAAATAGTGTGAAGATTTAAAATAGTTGTTGAGCAAAAAAATAATGGTTAAATGAGTTGGAAAACCTTGCAATCGACTGTTTCTCATGGATCAATAAACATGTTTGTCTTTAAAATAACACCGAAATGTGTTTGTTCTTTCATTTAAAAGGACATCGCCAAACGGTAATTACGATGGACGATTTCCCTTGACATGCGAAATAAGAATAAAACTGTTGCCGGGCTTAAAACCAAGTAGGATAACATGGGTATCATATTAAGGAGACAGCAGGCGACTTGACACCGCTTTGATAAGAACTACGAAATGATAGACAATGGTTTACCGGTGCCAGGTCGGAAATTGTTCACTTTGTAGATTTTTTGTAGGGAAGCGTTATCCACACAGCTCTGCGAATAATGTTGAGCGTTATCGGCAGATCGAATTCTGCGAATAATGTTGAGCGTTATCGGCAGACCGAATTCTGCGAATAATGTTGAGCGTTATCGGCAGATCGAATTCTGCGAATAATGTTGAGCGTTATCGGCAGACCGAATTCTGCGAATAATGTTGAGCGTTATCGGCAGACCGAATTCTGCGAATAATGTTGAGCGTTATCGGCAGACCGAATTCTGCGAATAATGTTGAGCGTTATCGGCAGACCGAATTCTGCGAATAATGTTGAGCGTTATCGGCAGACCGAATTCTGCGAATAATGTTGAGCGTTATCGGCAGACCGAATTCTGCGAATAATGTTGAGCGTTATCGGCAGACCGAATTCTGCGAATAATGTTGAGCGTTATCGGCAGACCGAATTCTGCGAATAATGTTGAGCGTTATCGGCAGACCGCATTCTGCGAATAATGCAGAGCGTTATTGTTAGACAGAAGTGTTCCCATAATTACGCACATTTCTAAAAATAATTAGGATCACATTCCAAGCCAGGGTAGGGGCATAGTGTTAAGTAGTACAGGATAGATCGATCTTTAATGAGTATGGCAAAAACACATCTCAAAACCGAAGCTACCGGTAGGCACAAGTTAAATTTAAAAATTTAATAGGCTTAACTATAGACTATAGCCTATATATTATATTGGATATAGGACAATTAATTGTGCCTACATCTGCTCTGTTAGGGGCCAACATAAGGTCTATTCGACCTATAGAGTGTTACTAATATATCCAGTCAAACCTCCTACTCCTAGACATAACTAATTTTCTGGTATTTCATATTAAATGTTATACCAGTAATAAAAATGGTACCGGTATTCTTCATGTAGACTCACTTTCACCCATTGTAGAGATGTCTTTAAAAATGATGTCAAAGCTTGATAGGTTATCGTTTAGTTTTTTTTAAGCACTATGATATATCACGTAGTCCAGAAATGTTCTGACAGAAATAGTTGACATGCCGTGCAACAGTGTTATGATGCAGAGAGGTGTCTCCATCAGGCGGCCAAGTGAGAGACGGGGAGGGGCATATAGGCCCTACATCGATAATAACAGAATCTAATCCTGTTTAAGTTTAAGGCTAGTATTTTTTCCTTATCCTTGAGGGTGTCCCTAAGTCTAACCAGCTCTGGCCTTAGCTGGGGAAAAGTAAAGCTGGCTGGTTATTGCGCTGGCCATACACTCAAACTTTTAAACGCTGCTTCAATTGCCCCAAGGAGACTTTACTTCCCCAAGACTCGCAATGCATCCTGCGACCAGCAGGGTTCCAATTAATTTTTTTATGCTTTTTTTGTATTTAGACCCATAGTTACAACAGTGGCAGTATGGCTTTTTGTTTCAATTATCAACATTTTTTTTACAAGAGCTAAAATTGTTGATGTCAATGATGTTGATATGTTTTAAGTATGGTACCGGTATGTTCATTTCATTGTCATCACTAAGTGTTATTTCAACTATTTCTGGAGCGGCATATTGTGTCCCTACTTATAAAGATCCTTATCAGAAAATAAAATGAAGCAAATAAAACGTGACATATTTTTTCAGCTAAACATTAATACACAACTCTGAGATTTAAAATATTTGAATAAGTAAGTTATTAATATTTATTTGTTTATTAGAGAAAAAACAAATGGATGTTAAAGTCTATGAGTGGAATTATACAAAGAAAGCTAAACAGTCAAAAGAGCCTAAAGAATATCACAATGTGCAGTTAGAACAGCTGTATATGACTTAAACATGGTTTATGCGGCTCATCTGCATGTCCATATTGTTTACAGTTTTTTTGACGAAACTTGAATGAACATTCTAACAAAATAGATTGAAACTAGAATTTTGAATACTTACGTTGTTGGACAGAATGAAAAGTATAATAAAATTGTATCAATAAAAAGTGTAACATTAGTAACAAAACTATATGAAAATAATAATAAAACTAAGTGAACAGAATTAAGAAAGCTATATGAAGAATATAATTATAATATAATAATACGAAATAACCATTAAATTTTTATTTTTTTTAAATTATATTCCCGACGGGGAATCAAACCCTGGTCTTCCGGGTGACAGGCGGAGATACTGACCACTACACTACAGAGAGATGCTTACATGCGTATTTTGTATTCTATTTTCATAATTTAATTTATCACATTCTGCGAATAATGTCGAGCGTTATCGGCAGACCGAAATCTGCGAATAATGTCGAGCGTTATCGGCACAGCTCTGTGAATAATCAATTCCATTTTTTAAATTGAAATTCCAAATGGAGCATGTGCAAAATAGCCAAGTTTGTATTTTCAGGCCTCACCCCACAGAAAACAATATATCTTATATTTAGAATAGCTATTAGAAACTAGTCTTATACTATATACATTGCTATTATAATTATAATCTAGTCTTATAGATTGCATGGAATGCACATTGTCGGTCATCTTCCTCAAAATATTTAGGCCTAATACTATTACAATTACAATGAAATCGTCTTCTATTTCCTAACAGTGGACACATTTGTAAACCTGGCCAGTGTAAGCAAACAATAACTCTAGGCCCAAAGTTATTAATTTAATCATATTTTTTAATACCCAGGCCCAAGAGTCTGGCCTAGGCCTGTACATTATTTCTTCTTATTAAATTATTTTAACTACCACTTTAAGTTCTTGATCAGTAAAAAAAAAAATCGTGAACTATAGAGAAGAAAAATAAATATTTTCAATGGCTTTGAGGGAAGTTCAATTTAAGTTATTTTTCATGTACCCATTTTTAATGAGCCGTTATTCCGATGGTGCACTTTCAAAGGCCTGATAGAGGAATGTTTTCAATGCTGCTTAGTTTGGAGCATGCATTTTTAATTAAAGCTCTATTTTGCTTTCAAACAACAAAAAAAGGGGGTAAAAGGTATTAGAATGATGACATAGTTCAGGGGCGTGGATATAGGGTTCTTTGGTATAACTAGGGGTTTATAGTCCTGGGGGTTCTTTTATCAATTCTCATAAAATTACAACGTGACATAGTAGATGTATTTGCAGAAGGGTGATGCATATGTTTGTTATTGAGCCCCTAATCAGCATTTAGTCAAACTATTTACCTGAATAGGTGGGTGCATTTTATGAGGCTATCAATGCCCCAAGGGCAGCGTTTGTTACACACTCAACAATTTCGGTTCATATTAGATTACACTTTTTATATAAATAATTTGCATGTTGTACATTCAGTATAAGCTTCTTAAATGCTAAACACAATAAGTTGGTCTAGATCTGTTTCCTGACTTCAGATATTGAGTAGGTCATGTAGGTCTTATGTTCCTATAAGTCTCTATGATTTGCCTCAAATGTTTCGACGTCAGATTTAAAGTGTCAAATATGTGTAGGGGGTTCTACAATGCACTTTTCTGTTAACATCCAAGGCTATAGGACCACACAAAGGGGTTTAGATTACAGTGAAGAATTCTACATAAATTACTGCTTCTAGACCATTGGTACTCAACCATCCTAATGTCGCAACCCTTAAATAGAGTTCCTTATGTTGCGGGGACCCTCAACCACAAAATTATTTGTATTGCTACTTCATAGGGGTAGAGTATATGTGTTTTCCAATGGACCCCTGGGTAAGGGTCATTCGACCCCCAAAGGGATCGCGACCCACAGGTTGAGAGCCGCCGTTCTAGACCAAACTTGGAAAAAAATAATTCATTATCCCTTTCAAAAACATTGGCGGATTTCCAAAATAATAATACATCCATATTTTTGTGTCCCTTCGTCAACTGATTTTAATGGGACATTTTGTTAAAATTAAATTTGTTTGTTATACAACCTAAAAATATAAACAGTTAAGTTATTTGTTCTGATACTTATATGAGCTTAAAAATTAAAATTACACGTGATGTATAGATCTAGACCAAACACAGTACAAATGCAATTAAAAATCGATATTGAAAAACTGGGTGATTTTAAAGCCATAATATTTCAAAACTGTCTGGGCTAGGGATACTAATTTAATTTTCCTTATATCTCTTCATTTTTCAACCGATTTAATGGGACAACTTAAACATTTTTACTTCATTATTTATTTGACAAATTATTTAGGTTCCCTAGCTTAGTGATAATTAAAACATCACATTAAAGAAAACGGGTCCCCACTGAGGTCCTCATTTTAACATTAATGGAAAACTATAAAGTTAGGACATTCTGTTTTAGATGTTTTAGTCTTGAGATTATAATATACAAGAACACTTAGGTTACAATGAAAGCCTCTGGGTAAATAATTAATTAATTGCATCTAAGTCAAACTTCCTAAATAACAGTTTCATAATGTGACCAAGACCAGACTAACCCAGGGCTTAATCTGGATTGTGTTATACTCTTGGCCTATTACACTGGAACAAGAGTCAATTTATCTCATTTTACTAGAATGAGTACAGGGTAGCCTTAATTTCAATAGATGCTGTTTTCAATCAAAATTCGCAAATTTTCAGACATGAAGGATAAAAATATTGTTGTTTTTTTTAATTAAAAAAAGAAAGATTAAGGTTACAAACAAACATTGCATACAAAATTTAAAGAAGTTAAGTGTCAGTGTAACCCTGGCGTTCATGAGAAAAATGATGCTTCACTATTTAACCATTGCTATTCTATCAATAAGTATTATTAATGACCGTTTGCACCTTTATCAATCTCATCTCCAGGTGATTCAAAATAATGAGACCACAGATGGTGCTTTGAATACACAGACCAACAGCAACTACAGTGTCCAAGAAATTGGAGATCGAATCTCTGATGTCCAATTGGAACATGGGCCAGTGCAGGAGGAGGCAGGATCAGAAGACATAGCTCAGGTCCTACAAATCAGGTTAACAGGTCGTCAGGAGGAGGCAAGATCAGAAGACATAGCTCAGGTCCTACAAATCAGGTTAACAGGTCGTTTCAAAGTTTGCTTTAAATAATTATTGTTGCCTCAAAAATATAAACAGAAATCAAAACTTGTTCAAGTTTTAAAATGAAGAATTGGGGCTCTAGAAAGGTTCACATACCAAACATTTTAAGTTCCTGTAAAAAAAGAGATACTGTGTAAACTTCATTATAAAATTTGGAGTGGTCTTTGAAAAAACTAGTCAATAGGGTCAACATTTCAAAACCAGTGAAACCATCGTTACAAACTATAAAGCAGTGCTGTCCAATTGGTTTTAAATGGCCCGTCAAAGAGAAATTTTTATCATCTGAGTAAAAAAATAATCATGTTAAATTTAGATGGGAAAAAAAAAACTTTCAGTGATTCTGTATTTTTGGGAAATTGCACAAGAGTGCAGGTGAGAGCATAGGAGACATGGTGAGAGCACGGGAGGAGAAGTGGTGAGAGCATAGGAGAAATGGTGAGAGCACGGGAGGAGAAGTGGTGAGAGGACTGGAGGAGAAGTGGTGAGAGCATAGGAGAAATGGTAAGAGCACCGGAGGAGAAGTGGTGAGAGGACGGGAGGAGAAGTGGTGAGAGGACGGGAGGAGAAATGGTGAGAGCACGGGAGGAGAAGTGGTGAGAGGACAGGAGAGGGGTGGCATTTTAAAAAAAGATGGGGCGTTTCAAAAGAGAGAGATGCTTGACAGGTAACAGTAATTTATGTAAGGCGCACCAGCAGATCAACAATGTGGGAACATTGGGTGATATGAAATTGGATACTAACTTCTCCTTTCTGCAGCTTTGACAGGCCTAAAAAAAAAAAGAGTGGGGGGTGTCATGGTGTATGGGTATAGACTAATTACTTATGGGCATTACTAATGCAGAGATGAATTTGGATACTTAAATTATGGTAACTTGATGCATAGCAAGCTGGTTATTGTAAAATTCTTCCATGCTCACAAATGGGACAGGTTTAGATGAACTAGAGAGGTGAGCAACACGTGTTAAACAACTGGGCTTTATGGGAGGATAATAATAAGACAAGAGTTAACAACATGAGATCAGGGCCACTAAATGACAGGGCGCTAATGACTGGAGGGGAAACCAGTTGAAACGTAATGGGCAGTCTGTCCAGGTTGTATGATCAATTCCAGGAGTAGAAAGCAGGATAAAAGCTGTTTTTTGTAATAAGTGCAATTCAGTGAGGGAGAAATTCTGACAGACAGTATGAATGCTTCTTGAAAGCATTTTTATTTCTAAAAAGATAAAGCCAAAACACCAAGTAAAAAAAATGGAAATTGACAGAAGAGAACCGTACTTTTAACATTCCTGGGAACTGGAATAGGAATTCATGGGAATTGTTCAATGCAAAGCAAATGTGTTTGATATGCCAGACTTCTTTTTCTGTTATGAAAAAGGCAGAGACACCAAATTTCAGTGACTGCGGATTTTGAGAAAGAATTGAAACAATTTTTGGTCAGAGTTGAGCTCCAGCGACTGTGCCACTGAAGCATCTTTTAATATTTGCTGGATATTAACTAATAAGCAAAAACCATATTCAGATGGTGAAACTGTTGAACTTTGTTTCAGTAATGTGCAGATTCATTATTTGCTGAATTTTAAACGAAAAAAGAAATAAATATCTAATCTTCAGCTTACTCCCCAGACTGTAGCTAGAGGTGTTGAGAGTATGTCCGGGGAATATTTGAGCAGTTGCGTCATGATTTGAAAAATGTTACCGATTTGAGTCTTGCATTGGATGAATCATGTGACATCACTGACACAGTCCAACTTATTGCTGGGGGTTAGATTTGACATGGAACACGGATTTAAGAAGAATTATTGGCACTAATTCCATTGAAAAATACAACCCGTGGTTAGGGTGCATATAAGGCACCGAAGGAATTTCTGGTAAAGAGCTCAAGCGACACCATTCCAATTTTAAAATTTGCTGATGATACCACGATTGTTGGCTTAATATCTGAGGGGGAAGACTTATACCGCAACCTAGTTACAAGCTTTATCAATTGGTGCGATGAAAATTTTCTCCAGCTGAATGTCTCAAAACAAAGGAAATGGTTGTTGATTTCAGGAGGGGGAAACACCATATTACAGATCACAACATAAAAAAAATCAAGGTGTAGAGAAAGTAGAGGCATATAAGTACTCCGGTGTCACCATTAATAATAAGCTAACATGGCATGAGCACAGCCAAATGCTGTATAAGAAATTCAATCAAAGACTGTTCTACCTCAAAAAACTGTACAATTTTGGCGTAAACAAGCAAGTCGTTAACTTATTCTACAGTGCAACTATTGGAAGCCTGCTTAATTTCAGTATTACCTGCTGGTGTGGGAATTCAAGATCGGCCCGTTCGGGTCGAATTCTTTCTCTGGAGGTGAGGACTGAAATATATAATAATTTGTTTGTTCCCCAATCTGTACAAATTTACCAGCGTGCCCCCCCTGAAGTCACACATGTTAATGAGGACTATAAGTCCCTGGTATGGCTAAGAGAATTCACTGAATGGCTGTTTTTTTTCACTAGTTAAATAATTTAATGTAGATGTCCTGTGTTCAAATTGTTTTATTTATGTGCTCAAAATGTACAATGTACAACATAATAAGAAAAAATTTCCATTTCTTTGGCTCAATAAAAGAATCTTATCTTAGAATCTCCCGTGCTCTCACCATCAACAGATGGTGCTCCAGCAATGCTGAGAAGGAGAGTTCGTCTGATTGGACTGCTGATGCCTGACAACAATTTTCCAGACATTCAAGCAAATCTTTGTATAATTCCCCAGCAATCTCTTTGCCCAAGGCTGAAAGATGATACACTGCCAAATGTTATGGACAGTTTAGGGAAAATAGTAAATTTCATTCGAGCTAATCCATTAAATAACCGGCAGTTTAAGACTTTGGTAGAATATGAAAGAAATTTGGGGGACTTTGATAACTTCCAGAGCTGGTCACAGATTAGCGATTCAATCCATTGTCAAAAAAATTGAATTTAGATTTCAAAGATCTTTTTAAAGATCTTACTATAAGAATGTGTCACAACTGAAATCAGGATGACCTTTGTATCTTCAGATAAGTTTCCACAACTATTGAAATGTTGTACGAAGATATTGACAAGGTTTGGAAGCCTCTAGGTCTGTGAAGCTGGAGTCTCAGTAATGACCAACATCAAGTCCAAAAAAAAAAAACCAAACGCTTTGACAGATTAACATTTATGAAACCTAATTAGGGCACCATTTAGTGAATACCAGCCCCAAATTAAGAAGAATGCAAGTTCAAGTCAAAGCCAAATATCGCATTAAAGATATGCTACAGTTTTTATTCGTTGAGATGACTCTGATAACGGACGTTAATAAATTGAATATTTTTTAAAAGTTTTTTTTAAAAATATTTATTTTGAGATTTCATGTGCGGCCCTCAGCTTCACGAAAAACAAAACTTTGGCGCCCGGAGTTGAAAAGGTTGGACAGCACTGCTATAGAGTATTACATCCCGTAATGCAACTATGTCATAAAAAAAAGTGGTTGAACAACTCCTGAATTTAATGGCTAAACATTACAAATATTTAAGCAGGGGTGTCTGCACCACTCAGGGGTGCCAATAATATGTTTTGAAATCAAGCCGTTTCGTGACACCTACAAGATAATGACAGGCACATTACATCTGGTACATAATAGCACACATACTATTTGCCATAAAAATTCAAAAGTTTTTAACAACTACATATGAAAATTGATTTGGTTTTAGAATTTAAAAAAATTATTGTTTAATTGTTTAAAAAATGTAAATATTTAAATGTAAATATGTAAATGTAAATATTGATGTAAGCTTGAATAAAAGGTGAAAAAAAAAAAAAAAAAAAAATTTTAAAACCCTGTTTTAAAGAATGTCTAAATTACTTAAGGATGTATAACTTTTTTGTGGCAAGAGTATAAAAGTGATTTTAGATCCAAAATTTTTCTATTTCTTTATTAATACTAAGACACACAAGATATATCAAAATGATCATTTTTTAAATTAATTTTTTGTTTTACAGATTCCCAAACAGACCAGAGCCCCGGCAATGATGGATCTAATTAGATATCATGGTGAAGAAGGAAGAAAAAGATCTTTTTTTTTGGTCAAAAGGTATAAGTTCACAGGTTCACATAATTTTTTTTAGTAATGACCTCATTTTACAGATGCAACGCAAACTAGGATCCCAGAACATTTTTTAAAAGGCTTTTTAATAGGGTGTTAAAGAAAAATAAACATAAATAGATTTTGCAGTGAAACATAATTTAAATTAATTTCAACTTATAACATATTAAATGCAATGGTTGAAATTGATTTCTTTTAAGCTAATTAGCCTGTAAAGCCACAGGCAACTCCTGGCAATCTCATTTGGGTTCGCAACTTATGGGCTAGGAAGTAGCGTAATAGATTTCTTTGAGAATTTTCATATCAAAATATGGTTTAAAAGGATTGTGAAACTTTCATTAGAGATCCAATGCATGAAAAAGGTAACTGCAAATTCATTTACTTTTATTTATAAATAAACGAAAAAAGAGAGGGTAAGGTTTTGATGTAGTCCCAAGTGGAGTTTTGAAAACATACTTAATCCCCATTGTTTATGTCAAGAAAGTACATTGGCAAAACTGTGTAATGGAAAGCCCAGCTTTTTCAGAGAAACCTCTATCATTTCCCAAAATTGCAAAGTGCTAATGGACTAGGGCATACCATTCAGTAATAAACATACTGTAAGGCTACAGGAAGAACTTGATCACCTGTTTGCAGACTACAAAACACATAAATCCACTTTTCAAATTTTTGCTGCTTTTCTCCTTCAATGTGGAAGATGCCCCCCCCCCCCCCCCCCGCCTTTGCCCTTCAAATGGAACTGATTGATCTTCTGTGCAATTCCAAACTCTAGGCTAAGTTCAGGGAGGTGTATGGAAAAACAAACAAACTTGGCACATTAAAGCGGATCATGTGCCTTTTTGGGAGTAGCTATCTGTGGGAAAAGCTCTTTTCACTTATGAACTTTAACAAGTCAAAGTTCAGGGCCAAACTTACTGATGATTATCTTCAAGCTTTACTGAGGGCCTCAGTTGCTTCCTCACTCAAACTAAATGTTGCTCAGCTGTGTAAGAAAAAGTGCTGCCAGGTCTCTGGCTACAAGGAGTAAGAGGTTTTTGAGAAACCTTAATGTTTTTATTTGTTATTGATAAAGGTTGAGCTGTTTGTAACAGGTGTATTTTATTGAATTTGTAATCATTTTCTGTGGAATACTTGATGCAGCCCATTCTCAGTCAGACTCTACCTCCTGCGGCCCCCAAATAGTTTGAGACCCCTGCTTTATATGCATTTTTGTTTTCATTTATGTCATTGTACTTGATTTATCATTTTATTAACAAGGCGTTATGTAAATGGGTAAACATTTCCCCTTCAAAAATACATTTTATTTTTACTGCATACCCAAATATGTCACAAAATCAAAGCACATAACAACAGTTACACAATTAATCTCTACACCAACGCCCACGAAAAACGGATTTTTGGGAGTGGGGCTGAAATGATAGAATGTGTTTTCAGCTCAATAAGATGACGGGAATTGGGTCAATGAGTCTTCAGAAGATTTTGCCACTCAGAAACACACAAACAAAAGCAAATTTAATATAATGGATTTTAAATTTTCATCTCTTGAAAAAGGATGGCTGATTCCATGCCAATGATAACATTAAATCAACAATGCAATGTGCATGTCCGACAATGTAGAAAAATTTGAATACCAAGTTGAATGGACAATGGGACATCCATATATAACGTACGCAAAAAACAACACATGTTGCTCAGCTGTGTAAGAAAAAGTGCTGCCAGCACGTTTGGGGGGAGGGGGCTACATTTATGCATAAATTCTAGGGGTGTGCCGGATCTGTTTTTTCCAACCGGATCCGGATTTTCTTATGCGAAATCCGCCGGATCCGGATTCCGGTTTCTCCCGGATTCCGGATTTTGGTACTATTGGTAGATACTTCGGTAAGTCAAGGTGGACTACTACTTTTTGTGTATGGGAATTCGCAATCGGCGCCAAAAAATCCGAGTTTTTAATTTTCCGATGTGTGTGTCTATTTATTATTAAATTAGTACTTTCGATATATATTTGAGTTCCGTTCCATTTGGATAAGTGTCTTACGAGAGACGCCATGTTTCTACGCGTTCGCAGCAGGTTATGCAGCTCGCTCAACCTAATTTCGCCATGGGGTTGGCCACGCCCCCCTTTTTAATGGCGGAAGTTGACGATACTTAGGAAATATTAATTTATTATCACTATTTACATCAAAATAATTGATAACTTGTGTTTCAGAATGCATTTAAAGACATTTAAACTGGAATGTTTTAATTTGAGCTTTAACAACCCGGTAGAATCCATATTATAAATGATCAGAATTTACCGTGTGCAACACGTTGTCATTGGCAACCATTCACAGCCACTTGCATAACTGTATCGTAGTACTACCTCAGAGTTTCATTCATAAGAGTTTGCCGTGTGCAAAAACTATTAAACCATTGGTCAGGGAAAGCTTTAATTAATTATTCATGTGCCAAAGTTGAAAGTTTAAACTAAGTCTAAACAGTATTTTAGTGATAAGGCAGGGAATGCGTTGCCTTATATAAACTATATAGTCATTGCGCATGACGGGATTGGTGGAATGAGATCACAGAATGTGGAGATGCAGTCCATGTTAAAAAATGACAAACCAAGTCGTACTTTAAAAATTCATAACTTTAAAACTACAACAGCTAAAAATATGATTTTGGTGTTATAATTCTTTAAAAAATTACATCTTTTCAACTATGCCATTGGTTTATTTTTACAAAAAGTTTAAATTTTCTTATCAAAGTCCCTACACTATTGGCCACTATTAGCGGTGCTGACTCTAGCCTCTGGTATGTACGGAATATTAAACATTAAACAAGCTCAACGCTCGAAACAATCGATTAATGTATCGTGATCGTGTGAAATTCGGGAAAGAGAATTACTTTTATTTCAGATTATGATCCGGTGAGTCACAAAATCTGGCAAATTCCGAAATCCGGTATATTCCGGATTCCGGAATCCGGTTGTTCCGGATACATGTAAATCCGGCGGAACCGGATTTCACCGGATAGTGCAAAATCCGGCGGAACCGGATTCCGGACCGGGGTCCGGCACACCCCTAATAAATTCTAAAATAATTATCCTGACAAGTCTCTAATAAAGCCAAATGTAAATCTGTCAAATCCATTATTTCTTATTAGGCCTATTTGTTTTGCAGTTATTGGCATGCTAATGCTTGGTGTTTTCATAAATAGCTTGCTAGATATAGCTGTAGTAATATATAGCCTAGTGACAACACACTAGTCTTTCCGTGCCGATGACGTAACTATTTCTTTCAGCAACCAACCTCCCCCACCCTTATTGGTGGAGGAAAGCTATTTTTTAACCGGGTCTCTTAATTAAAATCGTAGTTCTGATGGGTCTCAGAATAGAATTGTAAAAGACATGTCAAAATCGTACATTGTACGGAAAAATTGTAAGAGTAAACAGGTCTTGAATCATACAGAGTGGCTTGTAGGTGTACAGTTCACAGTGTATTTTACTATAATTCCTGCCATTTCAAGGGAGGAATCGCCAAGGATTGCGATCTCTAATATGATTTTTATAATCAATTTTAAATTTAGGAAAATATATTCATCATTACCTTGTTTAATCTGTTGAAAAAATTATGCCAGCACTCCTTGACCAACACCGTCATTATATAGGGGATTGAAAATGTAGATAGGTTAGAGTCAGCTCCATCTTATGTTGATTCCGTTATTTTTCTTCAACCTTTAACAAAATAAGACAAAAACACATTGTTATTAGAAGAGAATATGATAAAAGCTTGTTGTATTTGGTCATGTAAGCAGATAAGATAAGTTACAAATTAATTTTTAATTTATAAGAAAATTTAAATCATTGGTTCTCAAAGTATGTGGTACTGCCCCCAAGGGGCGGTGGGACATCCCGGGGTGCGGGGGCGTATAACGCTCATTATATTTAGGGAAGAGCTGGGACTATTTAAGAAGTTGGTGGTGGATTAAAGCAGAAAACGCTTTTTTAAATTACATTCATTAAATTATCTATCAATATCAGCCTACAAAAAGTGTCATGCTTAGCATCAGTCAAACAATATAAGGAGCTACTATAAAGTAATGAAAAAAGTAGTGAATTCACTTTAAAGAGGAGCCACTGACATATTGTTATAACTGTTATACAAATCTGTTATTTAAATCATGGCGTTTAATTTCTCTCCTGCTACCGCATTGTTAATAATGTCAGTTTTTCATACGATTACCATTTTTGAATTTATCAAGGGCAGGCCCTTGTCAGAGATGGTCGAATTTAATTTTTAGTTTGGTTTCATAGTATGTCTTTTGTTATGAAGGTTATTAGTCTGATACAGATGTCAAAAGTCATTCTTATAAGAAAGAGGGGCGCAACTGTGCATAAGTTTAACCACATAAGTTACAAAACTAAACGCCTAAGGACAGGTTGTTGTGTATTTTTTTTTTAATTCCTTACTTTTTTTATTATCTATTGTTTCATTCATCCCCACATCTAGTAGATGAAAACTGAAAGTTTATTATTTACACCCAAAGTTGCCAGTGTGGACCTGGAAGTCGCTTTTAGAAGCTATTTAACACTGGAATTTTTTTAAAGACTAATCATGAAGAACCATAAAATATGATGAAACCCTTTAATTATTTGTGAACAAAGATTACATTAGAAGGGGCAAAGCATGGTAGGAATCAAATCAGAAAAACACATTAGTAAGGATAATTTTATACTAAAATACCAACGGCTTCCAACATAAAACAGGAGATTAATTATTTTCACTGCAATTTTAGCTACACTGTCCACTTACACTTTAAAACAATACATTATGAAGTTCAATACAAAAGTTGTTGTTTTTTTAAATGGTATTACTCGCCCTGGTGCCTAACCAGTAGTAACAGTTTGAAAACTTACAATGACAAACCTTTCTTTTTGCTTTACAGGAGATGTGAAAGAGAAATGATGAGCTACACAAATGCTGCTAACGTTTGGCAGTCCATAAGATGGAACCAAGAAATAACTTTTTAAATTTTTTAAAATATTTATTTAAATTTGGGAAAAATTTGTATTGATTTTTAAAAATGTACTTTTTAAAAACACTTTCTGTACAATGTGCCAATACTCAATAAATATTTTAAGAATGAAATAATGATTATGTTATGCTTAAATTTAATTCTAAACTGGGACCAATGTAGTTCAGCTCTTAATTTTTTTATGTTCAGTGGACTGCGATATACTATTCCAAGGAGGGCCGGCGCTAGGGGATGGCGAAGTGGGCGAAGGCACCTAAGCCTACTAATAGTTCCTAATCCATTCAACACAATATTTGGAAACTAAGCAGTAACAGAAACATTGCAAATACCATCTACATGCATAGGAGCCAAAATGATCAATAAATTGATCGTGGGCCCTTAAGATATAGAAGAAGAAGAAGTTCCCAAATATCCGTTATGACGCATTCCATTATGACCAGCAAGGCCACAGTACCACTATAATGTGTCTTAAAATCCTATCGGCGGAATATATAAAGTCAACGGCCCCGCAATATTCCATTTGCCCATGGCCCCGCACCTACCTAGCGCTGGCAATGATTTCAAGGAAAAGGACAGGTGCAACCTGCTCCCCCATGGCCTATACTATAACTTATAACTATTAAGTATATAAATATAATAATGACAAACCTAACCCTGTCTGAGGCTCCTCAAATAAGTTATTAATTATTATTATTATTATTTAACTTTTCAAAAACTATTTCACTATTTCAATACTTTATACAAAGTACATATCAATAATATTCATACATAATTCATCTAGCCTAGTAGCAGCTGCCAGAGTCAGAGCTGAGCTTTATGCCACTAGTTGAAATAGATGAAGCTTTATTTTTATATGTTATTTAAAAAATAGGCCCCTGAGAGTACTAAAATATTTGAACTATCATTGGTAGTTTTATTTAATTTATATCGCCAGGCCAGAAGGCGTCGTGTTAAAACTCAGAATTATGAGAAATATTTGCAGTTAATATGTATGAGTATGCTTACTTGAACCTTTGATATTTCATTATACATATCTCTGTTAGTCTGAGTGGAATCAATTTTCTTACTTAAAAAAAAAACTATTTGGTGTTTTGTTTAAATATAAGAAAAAACTCCTTTGTCGTTTTGTCAATGCAACGTAATATGCTTATACTTACAACTTATAGTATTTCAAAAAACACGTTTATGGGAGAGCTGAGAGCGCTTCCTACATTTCTGAAGGGCCTTTGACAACTTTAAAAAACTCGAACGTCATTATTAATAATTTTGCAGACGAAAAGGTTTTTCATTAAACTTGTAATTAATAGGCAATAAATATTCAGAAATATTTGTAATTTGTGCTTTTTAAATTTTTTGGGAATTTATTTAAATAATTTCATGTTTTGGGATGGTATATTTTAAGTTGTTATCAGTGGCGATGCCATCAAATTTAACATGGCGGGTCCCTTACAAAAATTTGGCGGGTTATTTATTAAGTAATATTTATTAATCTACTAACTTAACCCAAAGTTTACATATATTGTCAATGGTCATAATAAATTTATTTGAATGTGTATATACAATATTAGTGACTAATAAAAAATTTACCAGGTCATTTGCCAGGTCCCACGTTTTTTTTTACCAGGTCCTGAACCCGGCGGGACCAGGTGTAGCGTCGCCATTGGTTGTTATTAAAAAAGAAATGGTATAATTCTTTTTTTTATATAATACATTTTTTATTAAACAATTTAAAAGAAAGTTAGAAGTATACATGCCATAATAATATGCATATCTATACATTTCTAACCAATTACCTTCCTAAATATATTTATTTTTAAAATACCCTTATAAACAATAATATGTCAAAATAACAAATAAATAGACTATACATAGCAGTTATTCAGTGGTTCCCCCATTTCCGTTATTTTATTAGAACAAATCAATCATTTACAACTCTATAAAAATGTTATAAAAGAGAAATTGTTTTTTTTTTCTAATTATATTTTTTCTTTAATTTTAACACTTTTTTCCTCTGGTGGTGGAGAAAGTTGACTTGCTGGACTTGAAAATAAATAACCATATTCTTTAAATAATGACGTGTACATCAGTTTAAAGATTTTTCTGTAGATATATGAATTATATGTTTTGCAAATAGTTCAGCAGCAATACAAAAGGTTGTGTCAATTTTTACTTAAGACAGTTAAGATGCCAATTAATGAAATAGTCAATACTAGGTGTCGCAAAACCGTCCCCTTTTGCCAAAACCGGTATTTTCGATATTGACGTTTACGAATACCGGAATCGCGGTATTTTCGATATTTGGAGAATTTTTAGTCGAGATTCGAGATTAAAGGTGAGGATTTATCAGGGCCGGCGCTAGGAGGGTGCGGGTCTTGTTGAAATTGAATTTTGCGGGGCCGTTGACGTTATATATTCCGCCGATATGATATTAAGACACGTTATAGACATTCGTCTATCAAATAACTCCGAATATTGTTGACTGGATTAGGAACTATTAGTAGGCGTAGGTATATCATAAATATACTACGGCAACGCGCGGCCCACTTCGCCGTTCCCCTAGCGCCGGCCCTGGATTTATCAATGAAATAAAAACATTCAGAAAAAAATATCATATTTTGATTTTTAATATGCTTTTAACAATAACAAAACTATTTAACTTCAGACTTTAATAAAACGAACAAAAATAATATTCTTAACTTTTTAATTTAGGCAGTGTCTACACGTCCGGCGCGCCGGACGTCTATCTCCCGCACTATGTGTCCGGCGACCAAGTCACATGACCGCCGTAACAAAGTGGCGAGAGATATCGTGTCGGTCAGCCTTGTCACGTGACTGCGAATAATTCAAAACTATTGTTAATTTTAAAATCTATTTCTCTACCAAGTAATGTACTGAGTATCTTGAATGCAAATAATAGAAAAAGAAACTTAAGTGAAAGTGGCTTGTAAACATTTTTGTTTAGTTTGTTATTTTTTGTGTACCAGTAATCCATAAAATAAATTAGGGGCCAGTGTGGCAACCAATAAAAGTTAAAGATTTCATTTTAAATTATTTCAATTGCTACAAAATATTTAAAAACTTCTCATGAAACTACTGTTGCTGAGGAACATGATAATATAAATATATACAAAATATTTTAACTAAAATGGGAAGAAAAAAAACGACCCTATCACCGGTATAGATCCTCAAACATTCCTATCGTCAAGCAACCACTCTACCACAAGACCAGACAAGATGTACTAAATCGTACTTCGTTTGGAATTATAAAAACTACTAGCCGACCGGCCATGTCCGGCGGTCACGTGACGAGTCGCCGGACGTGTATCTTGCGCACTACACGTCCGGCGCGCCGGACGTGTAGACACTTCGTTTAATAAATAGTTTTATTAATCAAATATTAAAATAATTGGTGTTGTTTTAATCTTTGGTCAAATTTAAATAATGAAATCATAAATATGACAAAGTTTATAATTTTTGGTCACTTAACTTTGGCCGCAAATGGTTACAAAAGTAACCTGATGAAGAGAACACCCGCTCTGCCTTCACACTGGTCGGAGAATAGACCTTAGGCTATCATACGCAATTTTTATATATTTTCCTCTTGAACCGCCATTCTCAAATAAAGCCATTTCTATTTTTACCAATGTATCAATGTCTCCATCCATTGGTCTGGAAGTATTTTCCTGAGCCTGAAGTTTCTTATGTATTTCAATTGCAAATTGTCTCTTAAGCGGCAGTGTGTCTTCAAGTTCATCATGCTCAGATCCAAAATGTTTAATTTCATTGTTCGACGATATTTCCAACGATGAATCCGCTGTCTGACCAAGCTTTTAAACATTCACGATATGTTTTCGCATCTGGTCGCAATCTGGTTTTATAACTGCGTCCAAGTGGTCACTGGAATGTGCAGACTTTAAATGAGAGTGAAAGCCCAAAGTTGTACCTCTAAATGTATTAAGTATCTTGTTACATCTAATACATTTAGCTGAGAGATTGTCCGTATCTTTCAATAAATATTGCCAAACTGATGTCTTTGTTTCCGATATTTTCATATGCTTATCAAATTTAGGTTTATTTTTTTCAGGGTCCCCATTTCTCTATATCAACCTAAAGGGAAAATAAATCATTTAACAATAAATTATTATTTCAATCGAATTGGTTTGACGTGTAGAACTTTTTAAAAAATATTTTAATGTTTGAGGTGAATGTAAATTCTTCTTCTTCTATATCTTAAGGGCCCACGATCAATTTATTGATCATTTTAGCTCCTATGCATGTAGATGGGATTTGCAATGTTTCTGTTACTGGTGGTGATGAGGAAATCATGCACTAGGGGTTTGAAGGCTTGAGGCAATAGACACAAATGTGTCTAGTGTTGTCGCCTCAACCGTTCCTTTTGAAAGATTGTTCCAGTCCCTGATTGTCTTGGGCAGGAATGAGCAGCTCCTATACTGGCTTCTTGCTGGTAGGAGCCTGAATTGCCTGTCATGGCCTCGTCGCTGTCTATGAGGGAGAGGGACGAGTTTCTGTTTAATACTGGAACAGTGGACCAGCCCATTATTTATCTTGTACATCATGGAGAGCCTGGATTGTCGTCGTCGTTTCTCCAATGGTGACCAGCCTAGTGTTTCTAGGATGCTGCCAACACTAGAGGTATTCCTATAGCGGTTTAGGACAAAGCGTGCTGCTCGTCGCTGGACCGCCTCCAACCTGTCAATGCTCTTCTGGGTAAATGGGTCCCAGACTGAAGATGCATAATCTAAAATCGGACGGATAAAGGCTTTATATGCTCTTTCTTTCACACAGGAGTTGCCAATCTTTAGATTTCGCCTTAAGAACCCCAAGGCTTGGTTTGCTTGGTTACATACATTGTTAATATTCTCGTCCCAGCGGACCTCTCTTTGAATGGTAACACCCAGGTACTTTACGGAGGAAACTTGCTCAAGAATATGGCCGTGCAGTTTGTATTGGTAGTGTAGAGGAGTACA